GGGGGGGTAGGGGGGCTTCCCAAGGAATCCCAGTGCGCTCAGCCAAACCCACCGTCCCGCTGCATCCCGGGGGATCCCAAGCACCTCTCCCCACATCTCTTTCCCCCCCCCCCCCCCCCGCAAAACTGAGCCCCTTCCCATAGGGTCAGGGTCACTCCTAAAGGCACGGACCCCCGCAGGAGTCCGAAGGGGCCCCCGGAGCTATGGGGTGTTGGGGTGTCTCTGGGGGGCTCCCTCGATGGTCACTTATGCTCCGAAGCCCCCCGTCTCCCAGCCCGGCCCTCCCCCCGTGCGGCCCCCGCCCCCCACATTAATGGAGGTCGTGTCTGGGGGGCGGGAGTGGGGGGGGGGGGGGGGGGGGGGGGGGGGGGGGGAGTTAATTAGCACTAATTGGCAGCGGTAATTGGGGTGAGATGTGCGTTGCGGACAGCAGGTGTCACCGGCGGACAGGGAATGGAATCCGTACCCAACGAAAAGGCAGGGGCGCCCCAAATCTTCCCCAGCTCCCCCAGAAATAAGCCCACCCCCAAGGAGGGGGAAGGGGGCGGGAAGGTGGCACGATCCCCAGCACAGCCCCATATGAGACACCAGAGAGTCCAAAATCCTTAACCCCCCCCAGCCTGAAAACCCCCCCCCCCCCCAACCCCCCCCCAAAAAATCCTATTCTTCCCCCAAAGCCTGCAAATCCTGGATGTTGCCCCCCTGGATGGATCCTGGTACCCCAAAACCTGACATCGTAGGATGGAATTTGGGACCCCCGGCACCCCAAAATGTGTCTGGATTCCCAAAACACAGCCTGATGCACCTGGGTAGGCAATGGTACTCCAAAATAGGTCCTGATGTCCCCAGATGGATAATGGCACCCCAGAATGCGACCTGGCATCCCATAAATGATCCTCATGCCCCCAGATGGACAACAGCACCCCACAGTGCGTCCTGGTACTCTAAAACAGATCCTGATGCCCCAGGATAGACAATAGCACCCCAAAATGGGTCCTAGTAGCCCAAAACAGAGCCTTATGCACCAGGTTGGGAAATGGCACCCCAAAATGAGTTCTGGTATCCCAGGGTGGACAATGGCACCCCAGAAGTTGTTTTTGGCAACTCAGAAAGGGCCCAGACGCCCCAAAATAGGTCTCAGCACCTTGTGGTTGGCAAAATGAGTTCTGGTGCCCCAAAACTAATGTTGATGCTCCAGGATGAACGGTGGCACTCCAGAATGGGTCCTGGTACCCCAAAATAGATCCTGATGCCCCAGGATGGACGACAGCACCCCAAAATGGGTCCTGGTATCCCAAAACAGAGCCTTATGCACCAGGGTGGAAAATGGCACCCCAAAATGAGTTCTGGTATCCCAGGATGGACAATGGTACCCCAGAATGGGTCCTAGTCCCTCAAAACTGAGCCTGATGACCAGGGTGGGCAATAGCACCCCAGAATGGGTCCTCAGACACCAGTATGGGCAATGGCACACCTAAAGTTGGTTCTGGCAACCCAAAATGAGTCCTGGTACCCCCAGATAGACAATGGACCCCCTGAGGCCTGACCCCCCCTCCCCCTTTTCCCTACCCCCCTGAGTTGGTCCTAGCAGCCCAAAACATCCCCTGCCCCCCTCATGGACACCACTGGCTTCATCCTGGGGGATTCCTCCCCCCTCCAGAACCCCATTGCTGCCCCTATTTTCCCCCCAACTCCCTCCCATCCCCAGGTGGGTACAGTCACGTTTGGGGGCTTCATTGGGTTTATTGGGTTTATTGCAGGTCCTCAACACCCCCCACCCATGCACCGGAGGTGTGAGGGGGATCTCAGGGGTGGGGGGCACCCCAATAGCTCCCACCCCATCCTGTAGCTTGTACAGACACAGGGAGACAGGGGACAGATGGACGGACAGCAGGGTGCTGGCTCAGGGTGCAGGGACAGAACAAGGGGAGGGTCCCGGGGGGTTGCATTCCTTTTGGGGTCTCCAGAGGGCTGCAGGGGGGGCTCAGTTGGTGAGGACATCAGCACACTCAGACACCAGCTTGCCATCACGGGTCTCGATCTTCTTGATGACGATGGCACGAGATTTGGGGACAGCTGCACTCTCCAGTGCTGGGGGGGTCACAGTGTAACCTGTGGAGAAGGAGCTCCCAAAGCCCCCCCCGAATCCTCCTGCATGGAGAGGGGGTGCAATGGGTGATGCTGAGCGCTTGTTGGGGGTTTTGGGTAGTGAATCCAACCCCTGTGTCCCCCCCTCTTACCCGAGAACCCCGTGGTCCGGGTGTGGATGCTGAGGTTCTGCATTCCTGACTCCAACCTGGGGGAGAGTAAGGGGTGGGATTTAGGGAGGTGGGGGAAAGATGGAAGGATGGCACGATGGTGGGAGGGAGGGAAGTGGGAATGGATAGATGGAGGGAAGAGAAGATTGGAAGGATGGAGGGAGAGCGGGAGGGAGGGAGAAAGGGAGAAAAGAATGCAGGGAGGGAGGGAAGGATGGTGAGATGCAAGGATAGAGAGAGGGAAGAAAGAATGGAGAGGGGGAAGGGAGGGAAGAATGGAGGGATGAATGGAAGGATTGAAGAAGAGGGAGAGAGAGGGAGGAAGGGAGCGAAGAAAGGATGGGGGGAGGGTGGAAGGGAGGGTGATGGGGGGAGGGAGGGATGGAAGGGGGGAGAGAGGAAGAGGAAGGGAAGAATGGAGGGAGGGGTGGAGAGTGGGAATGAGGGAGTGAGGAATGGAGGGTAGAGGGAGGGAAGAAGGGGAGGAAGGAAGGAAAAGAATGATGGATGAAGGGAGGGAGGGAAGGAAGGAGGGGCAGAAGGATAGAGAGAGGAAAGAAAGGAGGGAAGGAGGGAAGGAAGGATGGAGGGAGGGGTGGATAGTGGGAATGAGGGAGTGAGGAATGGAGAGAGGGAGGGAGAGAGGGAAGGACAGAGGGAGGGATGGGTTGGATGGATGATGGGTGGATGAAAGCATTGGGGGCACAGTGGTGAGGACATGGGCTGAGGATGTGAGATGGGCCCAGGATTTGGGGACACACTTTGGGGGCTCAGTTTGGGTCCAGGGCTCGGGGCAGCACAGGGGGACACGGGAGCTGAATTTGGATTCAACAGCCGAGTGCTGCCCAGGGAGCAGGGATGTGGTGTGGCCTCCATGAGACAGGAACACCACCGTCCCCACAGCGTCCCATAGGACATAGCACACTGCACACCCCGTGGAGCCCCTTTCTGGTGCAGCATCCCACCTGCTCTCCTCGCCCTCCAGCAGCTTCCTGTAGGTCGCAATCTCGATGTCCAGTGCCAGCTTAACATTCATCAGCTCCTGGTATTCGCGCAGCTGCCGGGCCAGGTCCTGCTTTGCCTTCTGCAGAGCCGCCTCCAGTTCAGACAGTTTGGCTCTGGCATCCTTCAGGGCCATCTCCCCACGCTCCTCTGCCTCTGCGATGGCCGTTTCCAGAGTGGCTCGCTGCAGGGCAGGACGTTGGGGCAGGAGGGGTTACCTTGCATGTGGGTTTGGGTAGTCCCTGGACCTCAGCATCCTCCTTGCTACATCCCATCATCCTCCCCTTGCACCCCATTATCTATTGTATCCCAGCAGACCCCCTTTACATTCCAGCTTCCCCCCCTCTCCCGGCCAGTGCATCCCAGCATCCCCCTCTTGCATCCTAACTTCTCCAGTTTGCACCCCAGCTTCTGCTCATTTGCAACCCAGCTTTTATCATTGCACCCCAGCTTCTTCTTTGGATCCCAGCATCCCTTGTTGCACCGCAGCTTCCCCTCAATGCACCTCAGCATCCCTCCTCCTTAGCGCCCCAACTTCTCCAAATTGCACACCAACAGTCCCCCAGTGCACTCCAACATTCCTCCCATTGCATCCCAGTTCATCCCATTGTATTGCAGCTTCCCTCCAGTGCACCCCAGCATCCCACCCATTGCACCTCATCTTCCACCACTGCACCCCAGCTTCCCCTTTGGACCTCAGCATCCCAGTCCGGTACCCCCAGCTTCTCCAAATTACACGCAAACATTTCCCCAGTGCATCCCACCATCCCTCCCATTGCACCCTAGTTCACTCCATTGCATTGCAGCTTCCCCCCTTGCACCCCAACATTCACCTCTGCACCCCAACTTCTCCAAATTGCACTCCAGGATTCCTCCTTTTTCATCCATTTCTTCCCCCTCCCCCAGTTTGCACCCCAGCTTCTCCCCATTGCACACCAGAATCATCTCTGCAGAGTGCAAGGGGGCTGTGGGAGGTTGGAGTGCTGAAGGCATGGAGAGGTGAGGGAGAAGAGGAGGAGGAACAGTAGATGGAAGAGGAGGAGGATGAAGAGGAAGTAGAGGAAGAAGAAGAGGAAGAGGAGGAAAAGAAGAAGAGAGAGGAGAAGAGAGAGGAGGAGGAGGGGAAGGAAAGGAGGAAAAGGAGGATGAAGAAGTGCAGGAGGGGGAAGAGAAGGATGAAGAAGAGGAGGAGGGAGAGGAGGAAGAAAAGGAGGAGGAAAGAAAGGAGAAGGAAGAAGTGGAGGAGGCAGAGAAGGAAGAGGAGGAGGAAGAAGGTCAGGTGTAGCCAGGCAGGACCCAGACCTGGTTCTTGAGCACCTCGATCTCAGCCTGGATCCTCTGGATCATCCGGTTGAGCTCGCCAATCTCGCTGCGGGTGCTGCGCAGGTCGTCGCCGTGTTTACCAGCTGTCGTCTTCAGCTCCTCGTACTGCAGGAGCGCGGAGTGGGGTCAGGAAATCAGGGATCAGGGGATCACAAAATCACAAACTCGTGGGACTATGAAATCTCGGGATCCCAAAATCAAGTGGTCACGGGATCCCAAAGCCATGAATCCACCGAGCTGTGGGACCACGAGATATCGGGATCCAGATATTGCATCACTGCGAAATCACAGAATCATGACACTGCGGAATCAGAGAACCACGGGATCGCAGAATCACAACCTCATGGAATCATGGACTCATGAATCCATGGAATGATGGAAATGGCTGAGACACAAAATCATGGAATGCTGGCATCACAGAGTCCTGAAATTGCAGAATCCCAAAATCACAGGACCCTGACACGACAGAATCCCAAAATCTTGGCCCCATAAACCCGCAGTGCGGCGGGGATGGGGACAGTCCCATGAGCTCCTCTTCCTCCCAAAATCTGGGGCAAAGCAGCAGAGGCGAGCCCGTGCCCAGAGGAGTGCTTGGGGCCAGGGCTGCGTCACGCCGGGCCGGTCTGCGACTCGCCCACGCCGCAGACACCATGAGCAGCGCCTGGCCCTGGGGCTGGGATGTGGGGCAAGGGCGGGAGCGTGGGGCTGGCGAGACGGCGGTGGGGAGCGGGATGGGAAGCGGGACAGGGAGTCTGGGGCATAGGTCATCCCCAGGGCAGGGTGGGTGCTGGGGGTGGAGAGTGTTATGGGATGGGTGAGGGTCCTGGGGAGGGGGAGAGCATTCTAAGTCATGGAGCACACCAAGAGATGAAGGACCTCAGAGGGGAAAAGAAATGGAACAGTTGGGGGCATGGATGGTGTGACCCAGGGGATGGAAAGTCCCAGGGGATGGAGTGACCCAGGGGATGCAATCTTGCAGGTCATGGATCCTTTCAAGGGATGGAGGATCCTTGGGGACAGAGCATTCCAAGTCATAGAGGATCCCAAAGGATGGAGACCCCCAAGGGATGAAGGATCCCAAGGGATTGGGAACCCCAAAGGGATGGTGAATCCCGAGGGATGGAGAATCCCAAGGGGTGGAAAACTCCAAGGGATGGAGAGCCCCAAAGGGGTGAAGGATCCCAAGGGATAGAGGACCCCAAAGGGGTGGAGTTTCCCAAAGTGATGGAGGGAGCATTCTGAAAGACAGCTCCTCGTGGGGCACAGAGGAGCCCAAAGGACACAACATCCTCTCAGGAGGAGAACATCTTGGGACATGGGACAGAGCACAGAATTCCAGCAGATGGAGAATCCCAAAGAACAGAGCTGGGATGAGTCCGGAGCAACCCCCCAAACCCCGACCCCCACTCCCCACCCCTCACCTTGCTCTGGTACCAGGTCTCAGCCTCCAGCCGGCTGCGGTTGGCGATGTCCTCGTACTGCGCCTTCACCTCTGCAATGATGCTGTCCAGGTCCAGGCTGCGGCTGTTGTCCATGGACAGCACCACGGAGGTGTCGGAGATCTGCGACTGCATCTCCCGCAGCTCCTGCAATGGGGAAGGAGATGGGGCTGAGCTGGGGGAATGGCCCCCTCCCTGTTGCGGTGGTCCCACAGGGGGGCTGCTGTGAAGCCCCCACCTCATCATAGAGCTGCCGCAGGAAGTTGATCTCATCCGTCAGACTCTCCAGCCGTGACTCCAGCTCCACTTTGCTCATGTATGCTTCGTCCACATCCTGGGGTGCCAGTAGCATTGGGTCAGCTCCCATTGCCCCCCAGCCCCATTAACCCCAGACCCATTGTCCCCAGACCCACTGCCTCCCGGCCCTATTGCCCCCCAGCCCCATTAACCCCAGTCCCATCAGTCCCCGATCTCATTACCCCCAGCTCCATTGCCCTCCAACCCCATTACCCCTGGCCTCAACACCTCCAGCCCCACAATCCTTCAGCCTCATTGCCCCCCAAGCCCCACTTCCCCCAGTTCCATCAGCCTCCAACCCCATTGCCCCCAGCTCCACTGCTTCCCAGCCCATTACTCCCAACCCCATTGTCCCCCAGTCCTATTACCCTCAATCCCATTAGCCCCCAACCCTATTCCCCTCAGCTCCATTGCCTCTGTCCCCATTGTCCTCCAGCTCCACTGCCTGCCCCCAAGACTTCCAGCCCCACTGCCCCTCAGCCTCATTGCCCCCAGCCCCACTGCCCCCCAGCCCCACTGCCCCCAGTCCCATCAGGCCCTAAACACATTGCCCCCAGCCCCACTGCCCCTGACCCCACTGCCCTCCAGCCCCATTGCTCCTGTCTCCAAGTCCTCCAGCCCCACTGCCTCCCATCACCATCACCCCCAGCCTCACTACACCCAGCCCCATCACTCTCAGCCCCATCACTCCCAGTTTCATTGCCCCCCAGCCGCATTACCTGTAGCCCACTCACCTTTTTCAGCAGCACAAACTCATTTTCCTTCTCAGTGCGGTGGTTGATCTCCTCCTCGTACCTGCAGGGTAGAGGGCTTGGTGTGGGGACATGGGGACACAGAGGGGCAAGGACATGGGGACATGGGATGTGGAAGGGATGGAGGACGTGGAGAAATGGGAATGTAGGCATGTGGAGACCCAGAGATACAGGGACATGGGGAATGAGGGACAAGGGAGTTATGGGGGGGTGTGAGGACAGGAGACACGGGGACATGGCGGCCATGGGGATCCAAAGATGCAAGGACTCAGGGGGACACAGGGCGTGGGGACATTGAGACCCAGGGGTACAAGGACATGGGGATATGGGGCATGGGAAATGGGAACTTGGATGTAGGGATGTGGGGCATGGAAGAAATGGGGAAAAGGGGCCGCAGGGACACACAGAGATGGGGACAAGGGGGACGTGGGGAGCCCCT